AGGGGGGAGGGAGGGAGAGAAGAGCGGGGTGAGATGGGAGGGGAGAGGAGAGGGGGAGGGGGATGAAGAGAGAGATAGTACATTCTTATAACATCATAAAGTAGATAATGAAAAAATAATAATCAAAAACAAAAAACAAAAAAGAAACCCTAACAAAACAAAAAGTCTTTACACTTGGCTAACAGAAGAGATCTCTAATGCACACTATAAATGTTACTAAATTAATAATGGTTCCTCTCTAATACACCAAAGCAGAATAGATACCCAAAGATAAAATCAGAATAATTTTTTTGTTTACGCTTTGCTTGCATACCTGATTAATGTGAGACGCAAAGACAGTGAAAACAGGATGCAGTTTAGCACTTATATACAGCCATCACGCTTATAGCCAAACACACACATAGCGAAACAACATACACATAACGAAACACATACATAGCCAACACGCACACAGCGAAACACACACATGGCAAAACACACACATAGCGAAACACACACATGACAAAGCAGACACATTGCGAAACAACTCACGCATAGCGAAACAACACACATAACGAAACATGCGCATAGCGAGACACGCGCACAGCGAACAGATTTTCAAGTCCCGATGATGATGATGATGATGATGATGATGATGATGATGATGATGATGATGATGATGATGGTGTCGTTTGATATCGATGAAACAGAGTGTGTTGATGATGTTTCTTTTTTAATGTCGACTAAAGGACAGATCAGTATAATAATTGGGGATGAGGTAGAGTATGTTGATGATGTCAGCATTTACGGAAAACAAAGATCATCCGAGAGGGTGGGCGAGGGAGGTTGTGGTGTGGTGTTATGTGGTGGGGGGAGGGGTGGGGGGGAGGAGCCCACTTGTGCAATGTTTCTATAGGCAAGCAAAGATTTAAACAAGAAGAGAAATAAAACAGAGAGAAAAGAACATAGCTTAGGGTTTGGCTGTGTGCCGTTATATGTGTCACGACGTGGTGGAATCAGACGCTCGTCAGTTCTTGGGCATGGGGAGTTATTGGTATCATCTTACAAATTGTTCATTTGCTTTGCTTTTTATTTATTTTTTACATTTATCTGTAAGAGAAGTCCAGATATTTACAATTGAAGGAAGTTTGGATAGCTTGGTTTCATAGGTAAAATAGAGAGAAAATGCCTGTCAAAGTTTGATGAATTCCATACCTGGAGAGCCAAGGGAAACCGAAAATTTTCATTTTTATCGCCTTCAATCAACATTTTTTAAAGTAAAATTCACACTGATAATATGTGCGTTTTTAAAAAGGACATGAAAGGTGATTGGCCCAAAAAAACAAAAATTTGATAACAATTGCCAAACACGAGGAGAATTGCCCTTTTCTTCAAGTTCACCATTTTGACAAGAGTGTGATTTCACCACAATTCTCCACATATGTGTCACGACGCGGTGGAATCATGCACTCGTCAGTTTGGGGACACATTAGGGAGTTATTGGTATCATCTTAAAGTCTGCTGATTTGCCTTGTTTTTAGTGAAAAAGTTCCCTTGTATCTCAAATTGAATTCGAGATATTTGTGATTGAAGAAGGCGGGGGTCACTTTGTTCAGATGTAACATTAGCGGGGAAATGCCCACCAATTTGCTGTGACTTAAATAGTCTGAGAGTCCTTGGAAATTGAGAATTAACATTTTGTGTGGCTTTAATCAATGTTTTTTCAGCACAACCCACACAAAAATGTGATTTTAAATGGACCTTAAAGGTGTTGAATCAAAAAACAGAATTAAATAAAAATTGCCGAACAGACAGAAAAATGCTAATTTCTTCGATTTCATCATTTTGACGAGCGACTGATTTCACCACAATTCTCCACATTGTTCTTGTTGTCGCAGAAAAGACCATTAGAGTGCGGTCATGAACACACAGCAAACAGGCCTTTCCAGTACTGGTGGGCAAAATCCGGTTAACCTATCCGGACAACCGGATAATTCTCAATGAAACATTATCCGAATTCAGACTCTTAAACGCTCTTTCTTAACCTGTTTGCCGAAGTGAGTGCATCCATTTGTTAACGTGGTTCTAACCCGTTTCTCGAAGTGATTCTAACTCATTTTATGAAACGGTTCAAAACACATTAAACCACCGAAAAGGATGCCCCTCTGACACCCACCGGTACAAGCGGAGAACAAATTAAAGTAAAAGTAAGTAAGAGGTGCACTAATATTTTATCCGGATTTTGCTAAAGCGACTCATTGCCCAGCCCTGCTTTCCAGCCTCGAGAACCGTCCACGATCGCCAGTTGAGAACCAATCAATGATCGAGACGTATCGGTGTTCGATATCTGCCCGTGTAGGAATAATATGAAGTTCTGGGACCGGAGTTGTATAAAGAAACTAGCGGCGTGAAAGCCGACTGTAGGCTTCTATAGAGAGACTGTTGTGTCGCTGTT